GAGTTCTTACATAGTGAATAAGTTCTTACATGGTGAACAGTGCAAGGGCATTCATCACAGAAACTTTCGGTTTTGATCACGCATCATGAACTATAAACAATCAAGTCAGATATGATTATTCATTTGATTTTTATACTTGATTTATATGTGAATCCCACATTTCTCCCTTATTATTATTATTATTATTATTTTAATAAAATGCTGAAGTGGTAGGTAGATGCAAGATAAAGGTAGAAAACATAATTTAGTGCTGTAAGAGGGCAAATGTAGATGATCAGTTGTGTGCCTGTAGACTATGTGCTAATCCAAGCTAGACAAGGGCAGTAAAACATCCACGGATGCAGAAGATTTCTCTCAAAACAGGGGGTTGAGGTTCTAAGCCTCACCTCTGTTGATCCCCAATTTCTCACCTGATGGCCCCCCTGCGACTGTGCCTGTCTTAGGTTGTTCCTCCCTTGAGGAATCTTACCCATCTCTGGCTAACCAGTCATCTTCCGGAGCCATTTGAGGCACATTTTAAAATATGAGATCATTATGTAATTCTCAAGTGTGGCCCAGAACCATTCTCCTTCATTTCTAGTATCCTCATACCACTGAGCTGACACTTCTGTGTATATAGTTTTTAATCAAGAGGCTCATTTCTCTTAGCTCTCACTGTTCTAACCCCCCCCCACACAAACACATAATTCACAACACTACACACACATCTGTGCACAGGTGCTTATATACTGAGTTAGCCTGATATTAGAGAGAATTTATAGGTAGGCTCTGGAATGTTGACAGTTCCCTCCAGACCCCTGAAATAGAACTAGTCAAATGGATTTCTTGGTTTCCCAGTGCATAGAAAAGTTATGTTTATGCTACGTGGTAGTCTGTTAAGTGTGCAACAGCATTATGTCTCAAAAGCCAATGTACATACCTTAATTAAAGAATACTTTATTGCTAAAACAAATGCCAACCGTCTTGTGAGCTTTCAGTGAGTCATAATCTTTTTGTTATTGAAGGGTCTTACCTGGTTGTTGATGGCAGCTGACTGATCAAGGTGGGGTGGCTGTGGCAGTTTCTTAAAGAAAGACAATGGAGTTGCTGTATTGATTGACTTCCTTTCCCAAACCATTTCTCTGTAACATATGATGCCGTCTGATAACATTTTACCCGCAATAGAAACTTATTTCAGAATTGGAATCAGCCCTCTCAAACCCTGCCACTGCTTTATCAGTCACGTTTGTGTATGAGTCTAAAGCCTTCGTTGTCATCTCACCGGTCTTCACAGCATTGTCACCAGGAGCAGATTCCATCTCAGGAAACCACTTTCTTTGCTCAACCATAAGAAGCTGCTCCTCTGTTCAAGTTGTATCCTGCGATATAGCAATTCAGTCCCATCTCTAGGCTCCACTTCTAGTTTTAGTTCTCTTGCTGTTTCTACCACACCAGGCAGTGACTTCCTTCACTGAAGTTTTAACCCGTCTGTGTCATCTATGAGGGTTGGAGTCAGCTTCTTCCAAACTTCTCTTCATGTTGACATTTTTATCCCATCCCATGAATCATGAATGTCCGTATGGCATCTAGACCGGTGGGAATTCTTCCCAGAAGGTTTGCAATTCACTTTGCCCGGATCTATCAGATGAACCACTATCTGCGGAAGCAAAAGCCTTACAAGATGTATTTCTTAAATAATTAAGACTTGAAAATCAAAGTGACTCCTTGATCCAGGGGCTGCAGAATAGAGCTGCAGTGTAGCAAGCAGGAAAACATTAATCTCCATCAAGTTCTTGGGTGCCAGGTGCCTTCTCCCGTGAACATTAATCTTTTTTTCTGAGTAGTAGTTCTCAACCGTGGGCTTAAGATATTCAGTAAATCACGCTATACACCATGTGCTAGTATCCAGGCTTTGTTGTTCCGTTATATAGAGTGCAGGCAGAGTAGACTTAGCATAATTCTTAAAGGCCCTAGGGTTTCGGAATAGTAAATGGACTTTTGGCTTCAATTAAAGTCATTAGCCCCTAACAAGAGAGTCAGCCTGTCCTCTGAAGCTTTGAGCCCAGGCATTGACTTCTCCTCTCTAGCTATGAAAGTCCTACATGGCATCTTCTCCCAGAAGACTGTTTCATCTCTATTGAAAATCTGTTGCTTAGTGTACTCAACTTCATTAATGATCTCAGCTCATCTTCCAGACTTGCTGCAGCTTCTCCATCCGCACTCGCTGCTTCCCCTGCACTTTTATGTTATGGCGATGGATTCTTTCCTTAAACCTTGTGAGCCAACCTCTGCCAGCTTCCAATGTTTCTTCTGCAGCGTCCTTCCCTCACTCAGCCTTCATAGAACTGAAGAGAGTTGGGGCCCTGCTCTGGATCAGGCTTTGCCTTAAGGGAATGTTAGAACTGGTTCGATCTTCTCTCCAGGCCACTAAAACTTTCTCCATATCAGCAATAGGTTTGTTTCACTTTCTTACGTTTGTGTTTACCTTCACAACTGGCTAATTGTTTTGGCCCAAGCAGCCCAGTTTTCAGCCTGTCTCTGCTTTTGACATGCCTTCCTCACTGAGCTTAATCATTTCTACCTTGTGAATTCTCATGCAGCTCTTCCTTTCACTTGAACATTGAGAGGCCTTGAACATTGTAGGGCTATTAATGGGCCAAACTGAAATAGTGTCCTAAGGAATAGGGAGACGAGGGGGGAAGAAGGGGGACCAGCCAGCCAGCAGAGCAGTCACAACACGTACGTTTATCGATGAAGTTTGCCGTCTTATGTGGACACAGTTCAGGGTGCCCCAAAACAGTTACAATAATAGCATCAAAGATCACTGACCACATTCCTTCCTAATTACAACCCTTTAGTAGAATTCATGCCTCATATCAAATTACCAAGTATCATAATTCTTCCAAGTGGTAAAGATACCTCAAGACAAATGCTGGGCATAGAAGCCACAGGGCATGAATCTGCAAAGAAGTAAAAAGCTAACCTTTTCAAACAATATTGCTTCTCTCTCACTTACCAACTTTACATTTGCCTGTATGGCCCCGGAAGATGACTGGTTAGCCAGAGACGGGTAAGATTCCTCAAGGGAGGAACAACCTAAGACAGGC